AAATAATGTATGAATAAAATTATTAAATATAGTAATTATAGTTAATTTCGTCATTTATTTATGTAAGTAAATTTCCCGATAGTTTAGTAATAAATTAAAGAGTGAATAATAATCTAACTTTAAAAATATAGCTCTTTAAAAAAAATACATGATGATTTTACCCATTTCAAATACATAAAATAACATTTAATGTCGCATTACAAGAAATTTTAATAATATTAATTAATGCTGATTTGCCATAGAAATTTATCCATAAATTAATTTAACATAGTTATAAATTAACATTTCAAAATGTATACACTACATTTATAATAAAAATGATTTATTAATAAATAAATTGATTACAGATTACAAATAAAATTACATGAATTACTTGGTTTACATTAATTCTTCTAATCGTTTTTGAGCATATTCATATCCTTGTTCTGCAGCTTTTTTATACCAATAAATTGCTTTATCTATATCTTTTTCAACACCTTCTCCAATTTTATAATAAGTGCCAAGATTACACATGCCCACTATATTCCCATTATTTGCAGCTTTTTCATACCAATAAAAAGAAAGTTTAGGTTCTTTATTTATGCCATATCCATTACTATAACAACTCCCAGTAGACAACTGTCCTATTGCATAATCTTTATTAGCTACTTTTTCATAATATTTAAAAGCTAATGATTTATTTTCTGAAGTTCCAAGTCCAAGATAATAACAATCCGCAACATAAAATTGTGCCAATATATGATCTTGTTCAGAAGCATTAATAAATAAATCAAATGCCATATTATAATTTATACTTGTTTCAATTCCATAAAATTTAAAAAATCCAAGTAAAAAAATTGAAATTGAATTATAATTTTGATTAATAAATAGCCAATTATAAATTTCTTGTGAATTAATATTTTGATTATTAAAATAATCAATAACTTTCTGTCTTAACCCCTCCCTCTTTCTCTTATTTAGCACTTCTGAAATAAATTCTGTAATATTATTAACTATTACACTTAAATCATTTTCAGGTAAAATATTTTGGTTAATAATTTGATTACTTGATGTCATAGTTCCCATTATTTCTTTTGTATTCATTTTATTGAATTCTTGAATAACCTGAGATAATTCTCCATGTGATGATTCTTCAATAGGATTTAAAACTATATTTTTATTTGTCAATGATTGATCAGTTTTCTCATCAATATTTTCGTCTTTTTGATTAATTATACCATCTAATCTTTCAACAACTTCTTGAATAGATGGCCTATTATCTGGATTGTCGTCCCAACATTCTAAAAAAAATCAAAATATTCAATTATAAAACTATTTTCATAAAAAAATAAAAAATGTTAAACTTACCAGTATAAAGCTTAACATATTCAATGGGAGTATCAGGAACAGTAGTTTCTCTATGACCTTGCACAATTTGGAAGGCTAAACCACAATCATACGATTCTCCTTCTACATAAAAAGGTGGCTTACCACTTGATATCTCCCACAAAAGTACACCTACACTGTATACGTCACTCTTCTTGTTTAAAGAATATGATCTATTGCTGAATTTTTTTGGATCCATATAAGGAACTACACCAAATAAATCTTTTTTCTTTTTAGTTGATGCTTCAATTCTCTTTGACAATCCAAAATCCGCCAATTTGATAGTATCTTGATTGACTAATACATTATTAGAATGCTATAATAAAAGAAATAAAATATAAATAATGATAATAAATAATATAATTAATATAATAATTATTTTATCAATAAATTTGATAAATTACCAAATCACGATGTATTATGTCTTCATCATGCAAGCATGATACGGCACTAGCCAACTGGTAAGCAAATTTAAATTTATCTTCCCATATAAGTTTCTCAAAATTTTCTTTTAAATAATTGCAAAGAGAACCACCGTCAGCGTACTCCATCACTAAAAGATATTTCTTAACGTTATCATTTTGATTTTCTAAATAAATAAAGAATTTATTATTTTCAATTGATTGTATTTAATAATACAAAATATCATTTTATTTATTACCTTGATCTGAAATAGTAATTCCATAAAAACTAATAATATTATCATGAAAAATAACTTCACGTTGAAGTTCAATCTACATATTAACAATAAAAAATTTAAAACGGAAATAACATATAAATTATGTTAGTATAATACATCATATTTTAATCACCTCATTAACAAGTTCCTTAATTGCTCCTTCATCAATATTAAGAAGAGATTTTAATGCAAAATATTTAGGTGATTTTTTCCATTTTGCACGATAAACTTTTCCAAAACCACCGATACCAATTTCTTGAATATTTTTAAAATATTTATATTCATAATGTTTAATATGCTTTTTAGCAATAGCTTCATCAATCCACCTAAACCATTCATTCATTTCTGAAATTTTGACTATGTATATAAATATTGTTATGGAAAAATTATTTTTTCCGAGTATTAAAAAAAAAAAAAGTTTTATTTAATTAGCAATTTACGGGTATACAAATACAATTACACAAATTACAAATTACATAAAGGTGCATGGTGAATGCAGGTCAAGATACACAAAAAAGAATGTGACTTAGTCACGTGTAATGAATTAGGTAATCGCCCGCTGATCATATATTCATATTCGCTTTATTTCACGTATTAAACAAATTAAACAATTAAAGTTTTTACGAAAATTAAAAGAAAAAAAATACAATTTAAGACTAGTTATTTAAACATTTTAAATATAATATTATAACTTTATCAATTAAACGGTGATGAATATTTTAATAAATAAAAAAAAAATCGATGTTTGATTCAAGTTTATCGGCAAGAGAGATAAATAAGAGATTTTTCTGGNATTTTTTTTTTTTTTTGTTATTTTGTTAATTTGGTAAAGAAAATAATATATATTTTTCAATAGTGTTAAAAAAACCTCGTAAAATTTGCAAAATTCGTGTATAAAAAATCTTATCTTAACTAAAATATAAGGTGGAATGGTGACTTCCTCCAAGGTAAACTTGTTAAATTTTATATCGAACGATAAAAAAAATTTTTTTTTGTGGCTTATTCACGTTTAATGTTATTGATTGGTGAGTCATCGTTACATTTAAACGTGACCTTGTGGGACAAAATCGACATCAAAATATGCCAATTAACGTAATTCATATAAAATCTGCGCCGGATCTACAAATTAATTTTGTGACGGACTGGCAATTAAGTTTTTACGAAAATCAAAAGAAAAAATGCAATTTAAGTCTAGTTATTTTAACATTTTAAATAAAATATTATAACTTTATCAATGAAATGGTGAAGCCTATAAAAAAAATTCTGGAAAAATTCCGATAAATGATCATTTTATTCCGAAGAAATTCAAACACGTGATCATTTTTCTGAAAAATTTTTTATAGGGTTTCATAAAAAAAAGCATTATGACTCATAAAGTATTACAAATTTTAACTGTCAGATATAACTATACGAGTCTAAATCTACTCTATGCGACCGTGTCTGATTATCAATGATCGATTTTTTTAGTGAAAATCTTGCATTAATTGTAGTTTAAATTTTTTATTGACTATTTGTGCAAATAAATAGTTTGAAATCAAATATACTGTTATGAGTTAAATTTTATTGGTCAATTTTGAGAGTACTGTTAAATGAAAATAATGTGCGAATCAAATTATTAAATATGTAATTATAGTTAATTTCGTCCTTTATCTATTAGGTAAGTAAGTAAAAAAAAATTTCCCGATAGTTTAGTAATAAATTAAAGAGTGAATAATAATCTAACTTTAAAAAATATAGCTCTTTAAAAAAATACATGATGATTTTACCCACATTACAAGAAATTTTAATAAGTATTAGTTATTTACTAATCTAGATAGTAGTATATAAATGGGTTATCATCCGAAGGATGATGGCCCATTTATATACTAAACTAGATCAGTAAATAACTTTTTTATCATCCTAGATATACTAATTGGTCCGCCAGTTTATAACTGGCGGAAAAAATCCTAAATACCAATTAGTAGCCAGGTGATAATATTAATTAATGCTGATTTGCCATAGAAATTTATCTATAAATAAATTTAACATACTAATTATAAATTAAATATTTCAAGATGTATACACTACATTATAATAAAAATGGTTTATTATTAAATAGATTGATTACAGTTTTAATCGTTTTTGAGCAGCTTCATACCCTTGTTCTGTAGATTTTTTATACCAATAAATTGCTTTATCTATATCTTTTGCAATACCTTTTCCAATTTCATAATAATAGCCAATATTAAACATGGCTACTATATTTCCATTATTTGCAGCTCTTTTATGCCAATAAAGAGCAAGTTTTGGTTCTTTATTTATACCATATCCATTACCATAACAAATCCCAGTAAACACCTGTCCTATTGCACAATCTTTATTAGCTACTTTTTCAAAATATTTAAAAGCTAATGAAAAGTTTTGTGAAGTTCCATATCCAAGCCTATAACAAGAACCAACAAAATATTGTGCCAATGTATGATCTTGTTCAGAAGCATTAATAAATAAATTAAACGCCATATTATAATTTTCACTTGTTTCAATTCCACAATAATTAAAAAATCCAAGTAAAAAAATTGAATTTGAATTATAATTTTGATTATTAAATAGCCAATTATAAATTTCTTGTGGATTTATATTTTGATTATTTATATAATCAATAACTTTCTGTCTTAATAAAGTTGACACATTTCTCCTATTTAGCACTTTAATAATAAATTCTATAATATTATTAACTATCACACTTAAATCATTTTCAAGGTAAAATATTTTGGCTAATAATTTGATTACTTAGTGATGTCATGGATCCCATTATTTCTTTTGTATTCATTCTATTGAATTCTTGAATAACTTGAAATAATTCTCCATGTGATGATCTTTCAATACTATTTAAAACTATATTTTTATTTGTCAATGATTGATCAGTTTTCTCATCAATATTTTCGTCTTTTTGATTAATTATACCATCTAATCTTTCAACAACTTCTTGAATAGATGGCCTATTATCTGGATTGTCGTCCCAACATTCTAAAAAAAATCAAAATATTCAATTATAAAACTATTTTCATAAAAAAATAAAAAATGTTAAACTTACCAGTATAAAGCTTAACATATTCAATGGGAGTATCAGGAACAGTAGTTTCTCTATGACCTTGCACAATTTGGAAGGCTAAACCACAATCATACGATTCTCCTTCTACATAAAAAGGTGGCTTACCACTTGATATCTCCCACAAAAGTACACCTACACTGTATACGTCACTCTTCTTGTTTAAAGAATATGATCTATTGCTGAATTTTTTTGGATCCATATAAGGAACTACACCAAATAAATCTTTTTTCTTTTTAGTTGATGCTTCAATTCTCTTTGACAATCCAAAATCCGCTAATTTGATAGTATCTTGATTGACTAATACATTATTAGAATGCTATAATAAAAGAAATAAAATATAAATAATTATAATAAAATAATATATTTAATATAATAATTATTTTATCAATAAATTTGATAAATTACCAAATCACGATGTATTATGTCTTCATCATGCAAGCATGATACGGCACTAGCCAACTGGTAAGCAAATTTAAGTTTATCTTCCCATATAAGTTTCTCAAAATTTTCTTTTAAATAATTGCAAAGAGAACCACCGTCAGCGTACTCCATCACTAAAAGATATTTCTTAACGTTGTCATTTTGATTTTCTAAATAAATAAAGAATTCATTACTTTTGATTGATTGTATTTAATAATAAAAAGTATTATTTTATTTATTACCTTGATCTGAAATACTAGTAATCCCATAAAAACTAATAATATTATCATGAAAAATAACTTCACGTTGAAGTTCAATCTACATATTAACAATAAAAAATTTAAAACGGAAATAACATATAAATTATGTTAGTATAATACATCATATTTTAATCACCTCATTAACAAGTTCCTTAATTGCTCCTTCATCAATATTAAGAAGAGATTTCAATGCAAAATATTTAGGTGAATTTTTCCATTTTGCACGATAAACTTTTCCAAAACCACCGATACCAATTTCTTGAATATTTTTAAAATATTTATATTCATAATGTTTAATATGCTTTTTAGCAATAGCTTCATCAATCCACCTAAACCATTCATTCATTTCTGAAATTTTGACTATGTATATAAATATTGTTATGGAAAAATTATTTTTTCCGAGTATTAAAAAAAAAAAAAGTTTTATTTAATTAGCAATTTACGGGTATACAAATACAATTACACAAATTACAAATTACATAAAGGTGCATGGTGAATGCAGGTCAAGATACACAAAAAAGAATGTGACTTAGTCACGTGTAATGAATTAGGTAATCGCCCGCTGATCATATATTCATATTCGCTTTATTTCACGTATTAAACAAATTAAACAATTAAAGTTTTTACGAAAATTAAAAGAAAAAAAATACAATTTAAGACTAGTTATTTAAACATTTTAAATATAATATTATAACTTTATCAATTAAACGGTGATGAATATTTTAATAAATAAAAAAAAAATCGATGTTTGATTCAAGTTTATCGGCAAGAGAGATAAATAAGAGATTTTTCTGGCAAACAGTAAGAGAGATAGCGAAAGATAACGGGGCAATTGATGGAGTACTAATTATTAAAGATTATATTAAGAATTACGGTGGTCATTTTGGAAAAATAATTAGGATAAACAAAATCAGATATATCTTGATTTATTTCAACAACGAAGATGACATTATGAACGCAGTTTATAAGTCAGCAATGGAGGGATGAAATAGGAAAAGGATTCAAATTGAAAGTCAAGACGAATTAATTTTGAAGGATGGTAAGTTTAGGACACGGAGTATCCAAAGGACGATACTATCCTTTAGAGAATGAACAATTTTACGAGGCAAAGGATAGTATAGACTGAGGGTTCAAATATTCTAACCACAGAAAAAGAACTAGAAAATTTTAACAATTTAAATGAGAAATTTAGTGATAGAATAACTGAGATTAATGATAAATGATTGTGAAAAGGTAACAGAGATAGATGATTTGAACGTTAACAAGAAACGTATTGCGCAAACTCAAGGTGCTAGGGAAAATAGTGATAGTTAGTAGACACATAATAGAGTTTTTTAGCGCTATAATAATTGTATCCCAATTTAGACAGGTTTTTATAGTATAGATTCAAATTTGTAGTAGATAGATACTTTATCGACGCAATGTATTTACTTACGTTGATTTTAGAATTGATTACGCTAGCAATTATTCCAATACAAATAAAGTTTATAAAAAAATAAAATAAAAATAAAATAAAGTAACCTGTAGTCTAATTACGTTTCGGACCTCTTGTTCAACACTCATATAAACATATACGATCAGAATTTCTCAGAGGTCCATAACATAAGTACCTCACGTGATTGACGTTCGTAACTCAACTTCAGGACCAAAACATGATCGTCTCTGAGGTAAATGAGTACTGAATTGAGATCTATTCCAGTAAAAACTCTGACATAAAATCGGATATAATGGAAGAAATAGTATTTACAATTTTTATGAAATAAATACTCAAGAAATTATTACAATAAGTCAGTTAATGACTAAATTAAAAATTTGCAAGTTCTAAACTACAGTCTATAGACAAAAAATATGTCCATGTGAGTATTTGACTATGCGTCTGATCATATTGTCAGATAACATCACTTGCAGTATAAATGTTGGCTTATTTGTGCAAATAAATAGTTCAATTTTGAGAGTACTGGTAAATTAAAGTTTTAGTTTTTAAGCACAAAGAGACGAAATATAAAAATAAATCAAAAATTATAACTTAATTATAAAAAATTTATAATTCTTATATGTTTTGAGTTTTGACATTGTTTAAAGTTTAAACCTTTTCAATTTTGACTTCTAAAAACAAAAAGTCAAAAACGATCTAGACAAGTTACTTTAAAACTTTATAGTATTGTATATTGTTATTAAATCTCAGTAATAAATATTTGTTTTCACTGTTACACACTCTATAAACTCGTATCATAAGTTTCTGTAATATTTTTAAACAACTTATGATAATCTATCCTATTAAAAAATTGTCATATTTAGATTACCCTGTATAAATAATGCGGTGAATTGTATAACATTGAAAAATGTGATATTCTTGCGTCCGATCTATTTCGTATTTATCATCATATCATAAATAATTAAGGAAATTTGATTCGATGTCGGACAACTTCCTAACTACGATAACCAATCTTTAAACTAATACATTTCCAGTTAATTAGAATTTTAACTTATTCTGACGGATTAATACTAACAAAAAAAATTATAATTTTTCTTATTAATTGCATTTTATTTGCGGTTATTTCCGCTCTCTTAATTACCACGACTAAATAATAATTTCTTTAGACCAAAACTACCTTTTTCTTATTAATTTTTATCCCTCCTTTTAATTATTATTATTTCTTTTGGTTAACAACCAAAAATTTTTATTTATTTATTTTTTTTTTTGTTTTATTTTTATTGGATATCAAAATTTTTTGGAATTTTTTAACCCAAAAGATATTGTTTATTCTTTTTTTGGTTTGGGTCAAGACTATAATCATTAGAACTATGTCCTACGGCTTTTTCGATGTTGTTTCTGACCAATAAATTCGCATGATATTAATTATATAGATACATAACAATATTAATAATTTTGAAATTAAATCTATAATAAATTTTTTGATAAATCTATATAACTAAAAAATCTATATAACTAAAAAATTTGTCTGATGTTTGAATTAGTCTCCGCATAAATACTTGGAAATTGGAATTATGTAACTTGAATCCCATGCCATAATAATTAAACCCCATGACATACCCTCCGCCTGATCCATTTATGGTCAAAAACTATTCGATCCGTGACCTTAATCGGAATTTTTTTTTTTATTATTAATTCAAATATTTTTAGCTTTTTTTTTGATTTCATTTTTTTTCAATCTGAAAATAATTTTTTCTCCCTTTTCTTCTTTCGGTTTAGTCTTTTTTTCAAACCGAAAAATTTATTTTTTCTCATTCTTTTCCCATTTACGTTTAATTTTTTTTTCCCAAACTGAAAATTTTTTTTTATCAAATAATCCCATTGTCTCAGTCTTTTAAGACCAATTTTCTTTTATATTATTTTTTTTCGATCTTTTATTTTGGACCGTATTGTTACTTAAAAAAAAATTTTTTCAGATTCCTTTTTTTCAGAAATTTCCCTTAGTTTTTTTGAGCCGATTTCTTCCTTTATCCTTTTTCTTTCTCCCAAATTTTTTTTTAATTTTTTTTTCTTTTTCTTTCAATTTTTTTTATTATTATTAAATAAAGTAATAAAATATTATATTAAATATATTTACAAAATTATTATTTTTTTTTTAAAAAAAAATCAATATAACATGTAGGAAAATTGATATTCAAATGGTTTAGTTACATCTACTGTATATGTACATATTTAATTTGTTTTTGCTTTCAGCAATTTCAGGAAGTACTTTACCTTCTTTATCTAAAATACTTGGATAAATTTTTTATATTAACCTGCATATTTGTACCAATTCGTGATAAAAATTTTGAACACTTGCATTAATACAACATAACTCACATAGATTTGAAAAAGAATTTTTCATCTGGATATTGATATAATGGATATTTTACCATTTTTATAATTAACTAATAAAAAGCTTATAAGTTTCTTTCCTTCAATAACTTTAATCTCGGAAAAATTCGGTCAATATGATTGAGATGTTTGCAAAATCTAACATAATTAAAAGAAAGTTTTGCTTTTGAGAATTTGTTTCAATGATATTTTCATTCTTTAAAATTTTAATTGAATTATATGATAAAAGTGAAATGAAAATATTAAGCAATAATCTTTTATTATAAGCGTATATATAAGGGCAACTCCAATCATAACTTCACACGAAAGATGCTTTTTAACTAGTAGTAAACACAAAACTAAAGATTTTCCAACTTTATTCTCATCATATTTTGTGGATGAATAGATGATTGGTCATTTCAACAGCTGGAAGGATGTGATTTGAATCCTGGTTATAGGAAACAAGAATATTATATAATTAAATGAAAATTTTCAGCTATATTATATAAAACGGAAATTTGGGTATAAAATGAATGATAATTTATATTTTATACATACTTAAATCTAACGCTAATACGAGTTCTGTTCTTCGAAGTTCAAAGTTAAAGATAATGATCTTTGTTTTTTATCAAAATATGATAATTGCGGATACTATTTCATCTTTTTGGCGAACATAAAATCTATAATCATATAAATCACAGATGTAACTGATCTTGACATGATATCTCAGTTGTTTCATGTAATATGTCGATATCTACTAATTTTTTCAATTAAATTGTTCATTTTATTAACATGAAAAAATTATAATATTATAAAAAACATTCTCGTTATTGAAAACACAGTATGATTTTATTAATGAAGTTCATCGTTTATTAATTTTTTTAGTTGTTGCTATGTCAATCTTACATTTCTGATACAACATCAATAACATTTCAGAAAATTGCAATTTACAACAACGTATATTTATTTAGTTTGGCTATACCTGTGATAATAAAAAAGTTTGACTTACATGGTTGGCCACATCAGTAAAAATTTATAGCCGATCATCAATTAATCCATGTGATATTGCCCACATACTATAATACCTATAATATTATTATTGTCTAGGCTATTAAAAAATAATCAATATCCGATATTAAATAATGTACAGTAT